TTATAAGAATAGTATAAGCAATATATTCCACACAAATGGCAAAAGTAATAAGAAATGGAGAGTTAACTGAACAATTTCAAATATCAAAGGGAGTAAGGCAAGGATGTCCGCTATCACCATTGTTGTTTATCCTGAGTTTAGAAGTATTACTTGGACAGATTAGAGAGGAACAATAAATAAAAGATCTCAAAATAAAAAAAGAGGAATATAAAGTCCAAGCTTTTGCGGATGATTTGGTATTTGTTCTTGAGGACCATTAGAATTGGGACCCAAATTAATTAGAAAAATAGAAGAATTTGTAAAAGTGGCAGGTCTTAAAATAAATAAAAATAAGACAAAGATCATAACAAAAAAATCTTATTAAGAAACAGAACAAAGAATCGGATGAAAAAATAGAAATGCAAATTGTTAAAAAAGTTAAATATTTAGGAATTTAGCTTATAGTGAAAAGTATATCTATTAAAGAAGATAATTATACAAAATTGTTAACAAAAATTAAAACAGATTTGGATAATTGGAAGAATTTACAACTCTCACTTATAGGACAAATTGCCACAATAGAAATGAACATATTGCCAAACATTTGGTTTCTGTTCCAAATGACACTGATAAAGTTAGGAAATAATTTTTTTGAAGAGTTAAACAAATTAATATCAAAGTTTATTTGATATAAAAAACTGGGAAAAAAAACTGTGAATAAAGTTAAAATAGTTACAGGAGAGCAGAAAGAGAGAGGGTTTTGCTCTGCCAGATTAGGAACTATATTATACCGCAGCAACCCTTACATGGATCAAAGATTGGGTAATGTTGAAAAATAAAAGAATATTGACAATTGAAGGACATGACTTACAATTAGGGTGGCACACATTTTATGGGATGGAAAAAAGACAGTTATTTCCAAAGACATCAAATAAGAAATGCATTGCTATTAATTTGGCAAAAGATTAAAAGAAATAATTATTACAAAATTCCGATCTGGTTATCAACTATGGAAGCATCAATATATCCAAATGTGTTAAATCTGGATAAGATAGTAAGGTATAAGGACATCTCAAAATGAACAAGGGATATTAAAAATGAAACAAGAATTAAAAGAGCAAGGAATTGATGTAGAGTGGTGGATGTATATACAAATACAAGGAAGATTCAAGAAAGATACAGAAAGTCATGGAATATATAGAGAACTATTGCAATTAGATAAGATTCTACAAGGTCCAGAGGAGAAATTAATATATAATTATTTGTTGGATTATAAAATGGAAGAGGAGAGGGTTAAAGAAACGATGATAGTTTGGGCAAAAAAAATAGGTTGTATGATAGAATTGGAGAAATGGGGGGAAAGAATTATAAATTGATGTCTGCATCATATAGAGAAAATTTGTACAAAATGTTCTACAGGTGGTACTTACCACCTGCTAGATTAGCAAAAATGTTCCCAAACAGATCATCTGAATGTTGGAAATGCAAACAAAAGCAAGGAACATATTACCATGTGTGGTGGGCATGCCCTGTAGCGAGAAAATATTGAATAAGGACAAAAAAAAATGAATAGAAGAAATAATTAAACAGCAAATTGAATTAAGACTGGAGACTTTTATATTAGGTATAATAATGGGAAAATATGATAAGAAAACAGAGTATTTAATGCTACATTAACGGCAGCAAGAATAACTTAAAAATTGGAAAAATGATAATATCCCACCAGAGGAAAATGTGATAAGAAAAATACGAGAGTGTGCTGAGATGGATAAGCTGACCATGTAGATAAAGGAAAGAGAGGAAACTGATTATTATTTGACATGGAATATACTGTATGATTGGCTAAATAATAGAAATAATGTTGAATAGAGAAGACAATAAGATAATAAGCTAAAAGATCTAGTGGATAAAGATAGATTAAGCAATATAGACAAGTGTATAGATAGTTAAGATTTATGTAAAAGTATATATACCGTATAAATAGTTAAGATTTATGTAAAAGTATGTATACCATCATGAAAGTGTTGTAATGAATGGAAACGATGTTGTGTATAAGAAAAATTGTTTAATAAAAGTTTTTTTTTTTTTAAAGGTACAAGAGCAATCTGAGTTCTGTTACCATCCAAATATTTTCTGTTATAGTGTCCTCCTGGAAAAGAATGTTACTTCAAACATTTAGGTTGATACATACAACTTTAATCCAACTTTTTCTGCTGCCTTCAAAGCTTAATTGGAGTTCAGATGTGCTGGAAGATTTACACAATTTGCAACAGTAGTGAATATCTGTAATTTGATGTAGGATGAAGGTCGTTCTCTGAGCTTGTAGGCTGGTTTCTGAGTGTTTTGCTATCAGGCTAGTAACGTCTCCTAATCTCTGCTAAAGATGTTATCTAGCCTGGTAATGAAACATTCTGAAATCAGTCTACAAGCTTAGAGAATGAACCCTCAATTCACACAATTCTTTCTAGCAGCAAGTGATGGGATAAAACAAGATCAGTAATAGTTTAGCATAGGAAAGTTACATTTTCTACCTCCTTTCATAGAATTCTGTCCAAGACTCATTAGGATACTTCCTCTAGGCATTCTGAATGATTAATTAAGTCCAGGTTTTTTTTTATCAGCAGCCAAGATAACTTTCAAATGCTCCATTTTCAAAATAGTTCTCCATATAAATTATTTTTCAATAAAAAAGCTTCTGCTATATTGCTCAGCACACATCATTCTTTAAATATAATTTAAATAGTTAATGCAAAAATCTGTATGGAGTTATCATTTTTTTTAATGCAAGCAGAGATACCAAACAAGATTTCCCAAAAGATTTATAAAACCATTACTTAATGAAAGATTACGTTGTGCTGTTTATATAGAATTTAGTCATAAATTCAGACTGTACTAAAACTAATTAATTCTGTGGTTTAACCATGCATTGAACTTTCCTTCTCCTTGTGCACAAATAGCTAATATGTGTTCTAGCTGTGCATACCAGAGAAATGGAAGGTGAGCTCCAGAGACTATTGCATTGTATGTGGATGAAAAAAGTACTTTTCTTGAGGAACTGAGATATAATAGATCCATCTATTGACAGTATTAGAAGTAGTAATTTATATAGCTATGTATTTATTGCTCTCCTCAATATAAATTCCAAACAGATCAGGCTTATATGTTGAATTCCTATTTTGAATTACTTAGCAGATTTATACAGCTTACATTCACCAAAAATTCCCTTTCCTTTCTCTCCCACATTTGAACAGCAGCCACATCAGCAAATCAATAAACTGTTTTGTTGTTTGCTTGGAATATTAAAACAGTGTTTCCTACTTCATCATAAGGTACTACATCTTACGTTTTCATTACCTAATTCCTATTTCACTCTGCTCGATGTTAAATGATGTGGAACTTTGAAAAGATTCATGCATTTCTAATATAGAACATTAAGCAAATTTGTGGTATTTGCTATTTATATATTTTCCAGAATTATCTAAAATGATTATCAGTAATTGGATATAATTTTGAATATTTTGTGCTTTTATGGGAAATTTCAGAATTACATTCTAAAACACAGGTACCAAATTCGATTGCATCACATGATGTATTGTGATGATTTTTTGCTTTTGCAGGGCTGGGGTGGGTGTGGCCTGTGCGTGACGCATCCAGCCCGGTGCTGCCAGTTTGACACTCCTGTTCTAAAACATTAATTCTTTCTTCACTGAGAGCACCAATCAAGTCCAGAAAAACAACAGTAGATTTTTTATATAATACTCAGTTTTCTGCATGCCAAAAATAGTTGATTCCACATATTTTACTGAATTGTCCCCGATGCTAATTATGGCTAGCAACTAGAACTTACATTTTTGATAGAATGTAAAACTATTATTCTAAACTGATAGTGAGTCTAATCCTGGTTATATTGTTAAAGAATTTGGAATAAGTTCCAAAATATTTCAATTTAATTTAATTGGATATTTGCATTTAATTAGATAGTCCAATTTAATTTAACTGTAATTCAAAGTAAATTGAAAATTAAACAATTCAATTCCTGATTATTTTTATTGCTAAATGGATTAACTGCTGTCTCATACAGTAATCTCATTAATGTACAAGTCAAAACCAGAAATATTGTCACAAGATTGTATAGTTTCTATGAATTTTAAGAGAGAGCTTTGACAGTGTTTGCTTAGTATTTCTTTTAAAAACTAACTAAAGACTAATAAATACAGATAAATACATAATCCTTTCCCAGGTAAATTTACATGAAATTGTCTTTATTTTCATCCATTTACTTAGGATAGGATATCAAGAATTTTGGATCCATTTAATATGCATACCGGAAACAAGGAACAAATATGAAAACCTTTAAAAAGGCTGTTCAGATATCTGCTTAAACAAAGACAACAGAATATTATGCCACCTTAAAAATTGACAAATTTATTATACCATAAACTTTTGTAGATCAGATGTCACTTTGAAAGGCATTTTCATGTCCAATAATTCTATGACTAAACTCTATTTAAGGATCTAGTAACGTACTTGGTATGTATTTGTTATAATCAAATCCTTGTCTCCTTATCTACTATTTCTAATTTTACCTGATGGTTACTCAATTGATTTAATCAATATTTGGAAACCGATTCAGACTAGTCTCAAGAAATGTAATTTTAGCAGTTTCCCAATATCTCAGGGGCTGCCACAAAGAAGAGGGGGTCAACCTACTTTCCAAAGCACCAGAAGGCAAGACAAGAAACAATGGAAGGAAAGAAATCAAGGTGAGAAACAACCTAGAACTATGGAGATATTTTGTAATAGTGGGAACTATTAACTAGTGGAATGCTTGCATTCAGAAGTTGTGGGTGCTCCATCACTGGAGGCTTTTAAGAGGAAACTGGACAGCCAATTATTTGGAATGGTTTGTGGCAGGGGTGTCAAACGCGTGATGACATGTCACATGACATATTGCAACTTTCCCCGCTTCACTAAAATAAGGGTGGGCGTGGCCAGCATGTGATACATTCGGCCTATGGCTGCAAATTTGATACCCCTGATAGGGTTTTCTGCTTGAGCAGGTGGGTTGGACTAGAAGACCCTCAAGGTCTCTTCCAACTCTGTTTGTCTGTTATTCTGTTATTCAGTATTGGACAATGATTCATGAGTAATGCTAATTAAAATTTAATGAGCATTGCACTTTTAACTACTGAAAAGTACTGCTTTTTTCTGTATCTAGAATTTTAAAAATATTGATTGAATCACAAACAGTGGATGATCCACTTTTAAATTGTCTGTTTAACATGCATTGACCTTGGTAAGTCTCTGGGAAAGAGAATTTAGAAGCATACACTATAATGATTGGGTAACATTTGATGTAGATGTTACATTTAAATAGTTTATTAAAAAATTATATTAAATACAGACTAACAGAATAGTCATAATACAGTATATTTTACAGGAAAAATCACCAAATAGAAACATGTGTCTTTTAAAAGTTCTTTGAGCTTTTTCTTTTAATAAAACATGTTTTACCCGTGAAATAAAATTTTTGTAAGACCTGTATAAAAACAAAACAGCTTAGTTTAAACCCTTGAGTTTGATTCAGCCCAAGATAAGCACTATTAATAGCAAAATCCTACACATTTATCAACTATAAGTTCCCAATGAATTTAATGGGGCTCTTTCTTAAGGTTAAAGATTGAAACTTAAGTTTCTTTTATTTAAATGGAAGATGTTTAAACATATAAGCAAAAGTGCTTAGCTTGGGTTGTGTCATACCTGTATCTTCACAATAATTAAGTCTACAAATTCTTCAAAATAAAAACATAATTATCTTTCGGGATCAAATTGGTCACAGGCCATTATTTAAAAAACAAAAAACAAAGTGAGTGGATGCTCCCTGAATCCATCCTGAAGTGCCTTTTTTTTCTCTTTTCTTATTCATTCTGGGGATCAATAGTGCAGATTTATCTGGGATTTCAGAGCTCCCAATATAAATCTATGGAAAGCAGAAAGTGAATCAGTGGCAGGATGCAGCTGCAGAATCCAGAGTTATTGACTCTCCCCAATATAGACAGGGGCCCAAACTCAGAATCCCAAGTCCAACGCCTTCCACGCTGTAGCCCAGTCACTCCAAGGCCTCTGGCTGGTAAAGATGCCATATATAGACTCCATGGAAGTTGGTGGCCTCTTCTTATTTGTTTTCTAAATTGTAACAATGGACTTCTCCTTTTCCTTTCCCATCATATCCAGGGAGTGGCTGCCCATATTTATCCACACACCAGCAATAGCCTCTCTTCCGGCCTCTGGATGGACGACACTATAAAACAGAGAGTTACATTTGATTGATATAAAACAAAACAAAACCTAAATATGTTTAATACTTTTAGGCTAGGCCCTAACCAAAGATAGTGGTATTTTCCTTAAGGGAAATCACAGCAGATATTAATTGCATTATTTGAATAATTAATTTTATTAAACATTTCAAATTGATATTAAAACTATCCCAAGCACTTGAAGAAAGAAGGATATGTCTCTTAGTGATTTGGGTAAAATGAATTACCCAAAATTTATCTGACAAATATCAGCTTTTTCTAGTTCAAACTGAACTAGAACCACAAGAAAAACTGCAAAGCCTACCCATACCTGCTAGTATCAGAAAAATATTTATGTGCCTGATGTTAGAATTACATTATTTTTAAAATAATCTGTTCATTCTTAAAAATTTCTAGCAAAATTTATTTGAAAAACCAGTTGTACAAACTACTGGATCATTGGGGTCTTAATACAAATTTTCTCAAAACAACACAGAACCAAAAACCAAAATCTGGTACTTTAAAATACTATCCAGATAATATTGTGCATATTAATATATATGAAGATAATTTAAGTAAGATTATATTGATGAACTGGCTAAACTTGTCTTATTTAACATTAGAACTTCCTAGTGCTGCTGCTGATAATCAGTATGTTTAAACTCATGTACTGGATCCAATGAATCCAATACAAAATTTACCAATTTTGAGAAGTGTTATTTTTATCATATTTTCAAAGAATTAGAGCAAACATTTATCTTGTCATGAGAATAAATGGTATTTTGATGACCTTCTCAAAAACTTTGAGAAAAAAACATTACCTATCCAAATTGCTATTAAGGTTCTAGTTATCAAAACAAAATAACTATTCTTAGTGGCAGATTAAAGAGCTTCTCTGAAGTGTCAGTCCACAGTAAGCTATTTTTGGGACCCAAGTAGGTTTCCTGGATCCTAAATAATTCTCTGGCTGCAAGGAGAATCCAAGAAATCAAGTAACAGGTCCTTCAGATAGCTGGTGCTTGCAAGATAGTTGCAAAACGAAGATTTGGAGCTGGGAAGCAGGGGTTCAACAGTTCCATGTTTTTTTAAAAAAAATAAGGGATTAAAACGTGTATTTTGAAGAACCTATGTCTATGACATTTCAAGCTGTTTTTTTTTCCTTTTAGCCTTCCATTGGTACATTGCTTTGTTTTTACTTAGTTCTATGTCAATTGGTTTAGATCAATGAATGTAATTGGAAGAGCTCTTTCTGATGGCTCTTTCTTTTACTAATAAACCATAATTATAATTATCTGCCACTAGAGTGTGTTACTCAACATGATGAAAGAAAAGAACTAGAGTATATTCTCAGAGATGGAACTTTTATTTTAAAAAATCATTACAAACCTTAGAAGTCAAGTTTGAGAAAACTGAAAAATTCTTGGATAATAAATTGGATATCATGTGTGGAAGATACATCCTAACTCTACCCTATTTACATATTGGTCCTTTTAATCTGGTGGGGTTTTTTTTGGTTAATTTTAATCTTTTAATTTTTAATCCTTATGTTTTTAACATACTAATTATTTTATATTGTTATATGATGTAAACCACCCAGTTGCTCCACAATGGGTGGCGTATAAATTAAATAAACACAAACAAATAATAAAATGAAAATTAAAAATGAGCAAGGACAATCAATAAATATTAAGTGATTTTCTGGTCTATTGAAAGAAAAATACAGGCACAAGTTTTTTGTAATCATTTTGATTTAAGATTAAAAGCTGAAAACCTAACTACCTTGAAATAAATCTCTATATTAAATTTCAGAAAAAGAAAAGAACATTTTGTTTTACTAGATGTACACTAAGCAGTGTTTTCACTAGATCAAATGAGAAGATGTGACTTTGAACTTTCAGAGGTTGAACTTTGCACTATATCTCATTCAAAGGAATCGACTTCTGTACCACAAATGTACAAGATTTTGATCAAGGTTTAATAGAACCTTAACAGTAGAGACTACATGACGAGCAACAACCTGGAGACTGTGAATGAAGGCCAGGAGGAAATAGGAAAGTAGGAGACACATTGGAAAGAGAAGATATACAACTGAAGTGGCACGCCTATTTAACTATTTATGTTATATGAAGATTTTAATAATTGAATTTTTTTGGGATGTGCTGTTCTGAAGATTGGATACAACAGTAGTGGGATTCAAATATTTTTACTACTGGTTCTGTGGGTGTGGCTTGGTGGGAGTGGCAGAGGAAGAATACTGAAAAAAACCCATTCCCGCCCCACTCCAGGGAGAAGATTACTGCAAAATCCTCCCTCCCCACCCCAATAACCTGCTTTCTAGCCCCGTTCTCCTGTGCAGGGCAACAAAAAAAGGCCCAGCTGACCAGCTGGGACTCGAGAGGCAGAGAAGAGGGTGGGGCCAGTCAGAGGTGGTATTCCAAACTACTCAAAATTTCTGCTACCGGTTCTCCAGAACTGGTCAGAACCTGCTGAATACCACCTCTGGGGTACAATAAGATGGTGCCCAATTTTTTTTCAATTGGATTATGCTGAATAAATGATTTTGATTGAAAGAAATTTTGATTTAAAAATAACAAGAGAATAATGTACAAGAAAATTGTATTTGTTTAGAATGTATATACATTTGTTAGAGAATTTAGAAAATATATTTTAATAAGAGACATATGTATTAGTAACAGTTGTTTTATAGTTAAGATGTAGGTATATTTGAATTGATAGTTTGTCAAAATTAATCAAATTAGAATGGGGCATGGTACTAACTTTGATTATTGGGAAATGTGAGTTTAAGGACTAAGGCATTTTAAAAACAATTTCAATACAATACAATGAGTACAGATTAATGTATAACTGAGATTAGGAAACTTGTTATAATGGATGAATATGATGGAGGAGATGTGGAGATTTTCTTTTTTTCATGATTATATTCATCATTAGTCATTAATGTAATTAATGAAAAAATAGTGACAAAAGATTTGGAAAAATGAATTAATGGAGATGTTAAAATACTTTGATTATTTTAGCATTTTGTTACTTTTTAAAAAGTAACAAGAAAAAGGGGAAAGGTTTATTTTTAAACTAAGAGATTATTTTTATAATTTTTTATAAATGATGAATAATTATTTTTGCACCAATGTTTAAATGACCACATTCATTTAAGATTGCAGAAATATTGTATATTATTAAATATCGTTATTAGAGTTAGAAACCGACTATGCTATGTACAATTTAGAGAAAGAGAATGCCTGATTATTCATTTTTATCTGTACTGAGAAAAGTCAGAAGTCTTTTTTTTTGTTGCTTATCTCTTGCCTTCTTTCACCTCCTTTTCATTTTTGAACCTTTTGCCCTTTTCATCATTCACAAAAATTATAAAAAATAATCTCTTAGTTTAAAAACAAACCTTTCACCTTTTTCTTGTTACTTTTTAAAATTTAATAAAGTTTTTTTAAAGAAAACTATTTTTATTCACCCCCCAAAATTCTAAATTATGTGAAGTAACACTACACACCACAGCTGTCTTACCATTACAGAGCCTCATCACCCTTTTAATGGATACATGGGAATCTCATGGAAATCATGCAATTTATTTGGGAAAGAAAGGAAGTTGCCTCTTGATAGGCCTTAAAGAGAACACATGCCTGCGCAAGCATCTTTGGTTACACTGACAACTCCACTTGCATCTGTTTGTCACAGGAATTTCAGACTTGTAGTTGACATTTATATAATAGATATATAATCTCTTGCAACAGAGTTATCACTTGAACAACTGCTAGGTATACTAGAAATCTGTATAAGCCCGCTGCATGCAGTTGTCAATAGATGATATTCAGTGAAATCAAATTCCTTTAATATAATTTAGGCAACGGTTATGACTCAGAAAAAACAATAAATGGCAATGGCATTTTAAAAATTATCTTATTCATGTTAAATATTACAAATTAAGATTACCTATATCTTTCTCTACAGAAATAAAAATCTGTCTGTTCAACAGAATGTCAAGTTATATTCCAAATTAACCATCTAATTAACACAGCTCACCAATGATGTTTTAACTATAGATAGGCTTAGTTATACAACGCTCAGTATAAACTGTTGAGATTTTGGCAAAGTCATCTTAATTCACAATTTTCATCTAATTATGTACTGGAGAAACTCTTTAAAAAATCAGAAAGTTGGCTTGAAAAATCTCTCCTTGAAAAGGAGATTATTTTAAAAAGAATTACATAAAAGCAAAGTTTAATAATTGTAAAAGAGTAGGTCTACAATAAATATCTGCTATATTGGAAAGCATTGACACTGATTCAAAAACCCATACATAACTATCATGCATACATACTCTTATAGAATCAAAATTATCCAGAATATATTTATAAGTGACATTGTCAAATAATGTTAAAATTTAAAAAGTTTAAAGATTCTCCAACATACCATAGTGAGCTTCTTGATGTCCCATTCTTCACTGATAATGGATCAACTTGGCTATTATTAATACTAGCAGATAAAATATAAATAATTTTTGCTGTCATGTAACAGCTTACTACTGCTAGATCAGTTGACAGGAAGAAAATAGATAGGAATACTATTCTGATTCTTATTCTAATTAGGATACAATTCACTTAGGGAACTTGAATGTCTATTAGAAATTAATATGGAGACCATTTCTTCTCTCCCCCAAAATAAAGGTGAAAGTCTTTCTTTACCTCATTTCTAAAATATGTCTACTGTGGCTGAAAACAGTCAGTTTTTAAAAATAGAAATTCAATAAACTTGCTGAAGAAACATCTAAACAAAACTAAAACTGATGATGAAATATGAAGAGGAGATCTTTTCTAGAACAATAAATTTGGTTGCAAAATTTAAAATAGTTTCCTCAGGGGTAAGGATGTGAAATTTAAAAAAAATAGAATAAAAATGTTAAAATGTTGCTGTAATGACTTTATGTCACATTTTTATTAAAACAACAGATTATGGAACAAAGGAGGGCAAT